TGGAGATCCACCTGCCTCTGCCTCCCAAGTGCTGGGATTAAAGGCATGTACCACCACACCCAGACATCCTTTTCTTTCTTTTCCTTTCTTTTTTAGATGCCTGCCCAGTAGAGCTGTTTTTTGTTTTGTTTTGTTTTCTGGGTTTTTTCCCAGCTTCTTCAATTTAACTTTCTTTGTGGTGAGGATCTATCTTTTTAAGTATTTTTCTGGAGTCCTTTGGAAGCCAGCCCACCCAGAGTCTTGGTGCTTCCTACTCACAGCTCTTGTCCTGGAATTCTTTTCATTTAAACTCACACCTCCTCTCTGGGCAGTCCTACAACCCCATTGACCTGATTATCTTTCTTCCCCCAAACACTCATTACCTTCTAATCCTTCATCTTTTACATTCTTTATTCTCTCTCTCTCTCTCTCTCTCTCTCTCTCTCTCATCTGATATAGATGTCCCATTTAAAACTGAACACTCATGGTTACTTATTCTCAGCAGGCTTTAAATTATTTTTAAAAATAAATATGGGGCCAGGAGTGGTGGTGGTGGTACATGCCTTTAATCCCAGCACTTGGGAGGCAGAGGCAGCAGATCTCTGTAAGTTTGAGATCAGCCTGGTGTACATAGTGAGTTCAAGGTCAGCCAGGGGTACATAGTGAGACACTATCTTAAAATAAAATAAAAAGATGGAGAGATAGCTCAGCAGTTAAGAGTATTTGCTGCTCTTGCAGAGGACCCAGGTTTGGTTCCCAGCACCCATACCAGGCAGTTCATATTCACCTGTAATTCCAGTTTCAGGGGATCTGAAATCCTCTTCTGGCCTCCATAGGCACCAGGCACACATATGGTGCATATGCATACATGCAGGCAAAACGCGCCTTTAATCCCAGCACCCAGCACTTGGGAGGCAGAGGCATGTGGATCTTTGTGAGTTCGAGGCCAGCCTGGGCTACATAGTGAGTTCCAGGACAGCTTAGGCTACAGGGATATCCTATCTCAAAAAAAAAAAAGAGCACACTTGGGAGGTGGAGGCAGGAAGGTCAGGAGTTGAAGACCACCTTTGACTAAAAATTGAATTTGAGACTAGCCTGGGTTACATGAGACCCTGTCTCAAAAAGCAAAACAAAACAAAAAGATAGATGCTGAGGATGTAACTAAAATAAATCTGTTTGTATGGCTGTACTCCCAGTACTAGGGAAACTGAGGCCAGCCTGGTCTACATAGTGAGTTAGGCTAGCCAATGCTATGTAGTGAGAACCCTGTCTCAAAAACAACCAAAACCACAAAAATAAACAAAAGACTTAAGGGGTAAGGTGTGTAACTTAGAGAGAGGTAGAGCATTTGCCTAGCAGGTCTGAGGCCCCAAGTTCAATTTTCAGCACTGAAAAAAATGGTTAAGGACTTAGGAGATAGCTCTGTTGATAAAGTGCGTGTTGTGCAAGCATGAAGTCCTCAGTCTGGAGCCTCCGCACCCTTGGAGGTGGTGGGGTGTGACTGTAATCCCAGTGCTGGGAAGGTGGAGATAGGAGGATCCCTTTGGGTTACTAGCCAGTCAGACTAGAGGAATAATCAGCAAGCTCCAGATGGAGTGATCAAGACATCTGATATCGACTTTTGGCCTCCACACATACGTGCACCCAAACACACATATGCACATACACTATACACACTCCAAAATAATAAAAAAATAGTTAAGGTAGTAAAATGTGTATTTCACCATAACACCCCCACCCCGCTCGGAAACAGCATCGTCATTAATAACAACTAAAGCAGGGTGTGGTGCCTCATGCCTGTAATTCCAGCACTTGGGAAGCAGAGACAGGATTGCCAGAGTCTGAGGCTAGTCCGGCTACATAGTGAGATCCTGTAGCGGGGGGAGAAAAACAACAAAAGCAAGGACACAAAGACAGGGGAAAAAAGAAAAAAGAACCCACAAAAACATTTATAGGCAGGTTCTGAGGGTGTCCAGACTGTCAGCAATGACAGAAAGGCTTGTTTTCTGTTTCAAATGATTCATTCGGTAGTCCAATCTCCCTTCGCGATCACTCGTGGGCTGTGAATCGATGAGATTCAAGTAGTGCTGGCAGCTCCGCCACTGCCCCGGGTGTGACCTTGGCTGGCCAGCAGCCGAGCCTCAGTTTCCCGGACTGAGAAGGCGGATGACAGCTCAGCGCATCCGGCCTGGCCCCGCCCCGCGGCCATGGATTGGCTTATGTGGTCTCCCCCTCTCCAGTCGCACCGGGCCCCAACCCGGAAATGCAGCTCCCGGGCGGGGGCGGGGTCCGCACGACCGGCTGCGAGCGATAGTAATGGCGACCAATGGGCGTGGGCAGCGGTGGCGGCGCGGCGGAAGTCCCGCCCTACGTCGCGCGGGGGCGGGGCGGTGCCGGGGCCAGTGGGCGGCGGGGCGGGCACAGGATGAGGGCGGCCATTGCTGGGGCTCCGCCGCGGGGAGGAGGACGCTGAGGAGGCGCCGAACCGCGCAACGCTGCGGGGGAGGCGCCCGCGGCGACGCGGGGCCCATGGCCAGGCCCACCAGTCAGCTGGTGAGCGGGTGGCGGCGGCGGCGGGGCGCGCTGTCCCGTTACCCGGGAGCGGGGCAGCCGCTTGGGTCCGGCGAGGCGGGGCGGCCGGGTCCTGCGGGCCGG